CATTATACATGGGGGGGGGGGCTATTCTGGGAAGGCCTGCTGGAAGAGATCTGTCTTAACTGCCTTTTTAAAGGCTATTAAGGTAGCAATGTGATGGATTTCCTCCAGCAGGTCATTCCATAACCTAGGGTTGGCAGTCAAGAAGGCCCTCTGGGTTACTGCAGCCAATCTAGATTTTTTAGGCTGCAGAAGATTTTTCCCAGAGGACCTTAAGGCCTTTGCAGACTGATAGAAATAGTGTAAATTGAATCTACTTTAACTGCCCTGGCTCAGTGCTAGGGAATCATGGGAATTGTATTTTTTTCTGAGACATTGAGCCTTCTCTGTCAGAGAGCTCTGGTGCCACAATAAACTCCAGTTCCCATGATTCCCTAGCACTGAGTCAGGGCAGTTAAAGTGGACTCAATTTGCACTATTTCTGGCAATCTGCAAAGGCCCTAAATATAACCTTTTTAAAACACTAAAAGATATCCTTATTGTTTTCTAAAGAAATATAACAAAGCCACAGACATGTTCAAGTCTCTTCCCCTTGTTTTTCACAAATACTATTTTGATTTGTTTCTGAGCTGTAACTAAGCTGACAGGCAACCTTGGGTCACAGCAAAAATGTCATGTGTCAGCAAATGTCAGACATGGATAAACTTGACATCTGACTACAGACTATAAGATTAATAACTTGACAGATATTTGCAGTCATCTCCTTGCAACTCATGTGCAACTACCTCCAGATATTGTTCAAGTTCAGTGTAATGAGAAATCAAGCTTTTCAGAGCAAGATTTAAAAAAAAATGTTAAGCGTTAGTGCTCCTTCTATGGAGCCTAGGTATTTTGAAACAAAAGGTCACTCAACATGTTCCATCATACTCTATTAATACATCTCTCTAAAATCATACAGAACTGTACTTCTTCATGAGAAATACATTCATCCATTCTGTGTGTGAGTTTATATGCCTTCCAGTTGCCTGTCAACTTATGTCAACCAATGAGCTTCACAGGGTTTTCTTAGGCAAGGAATACTCAGAGATGGTTTTGCCTGTTCCTCTGAAATATAGTCTACAGCACATGGTATTTGGTGGTGGTCTTCCAACCAAGTATTAATCAGATCGATCCTGCTTAGCTTCCAAGATCAGATAGAATCTGGTGCCTCCATTCTATGGTAATAGTCTATAATTTTTTTTTCTTTGGTGTGTGTGTGTGTTTGTCTATCTATGGTAAGGTCGTATGGATAAAATAAATTATATTGAATCCTTCATATATTTGCTAGTTTATAAAGATGTATAACAAGTAGCTAGCTGATTGGGCGAAAGGCTAAATTGTTTTACCAAGAGCTTCCCTAAACATTGACACATTTTCTAAAGAGCACTGGTAGACATTTACTGATTCTTTTTCTGTCATACTCCTTTTCAATAATTTTTGAGAAATCTCAGTTGTGATTGAAATATTTGTAAGGCAGATACTGAAAAAACTGAAGCTTATGCAAAGTTTTGGTTACATTGTGATCTGTTGAACTTTTCCTTGATCAGAAAATCCATATCTCTTTTGCACGGAATAATATGAACATGTGATGTCACATGACTCAGTATTTCTTAGTGGTTACTATGCATTGGTCCACAGAGCGAAAGGCTGTTTTCAGTTATGACATCCGATGTCCATATCCATCACCCAAAGGTAGTTAATTTGGTGTTCTACTATACTATCATTTAGATGCCATATCAGATTTCTCACAAATGTTTGTAGTGTATCAACGTGTTTTATGTTCATGATCCATAAGTGTATGTAAAACCATTTTAAAATGCATCTGTGGAAACTGACCGCTATTGTTATATTGCCATTAAGTAATTGTTTTAATATAGTGTACCTGGACCTGGAATAAGTTGATGAAAGGCAATATCCAATAAGCATGCCAGCCAACCAGCCTAACAAATCCTTCATAAAACAGAGATGGTCACTTTTCTAACTATAGCATTCACACAATGAATGACTCAATGTATCACTCCAAAATTGGCTGCTATCCCTTCTGTGTTCAAACCACAAGATAGTTTATATATATCACATTTTATATTGTTCACTGTTCAGCTGAAGAGCAGAGCTCAGTACATGTCAATAATTCTATTTTTCCAATATGCTGTGTGGACTTTCATAAAGCCCTGTATAAAGCTAGAAGGTGTTTGTCAAGATGAACCAAACAAAACAAGTTTGACCTACAAAATCTGACAAAGACTTAAATCTCAAAAGGAAAATAAAAAGGATTTTCAACACAAATTATGAGAATCATTACTTATGATTGGCTAGGTGAAGATGTTTAAAAAAAATCAATGTATTAACAGAAAATATAATGTACTATACTCAGCTGCTGTGATGCAGAACAAACATGTATTTAGATATTTGCAGTTGTTTATTAATAGATGTTAGTTTAGAGCTGAAAACTAACTTTCACAGAAAGATGAGGAAACTTGTAGCATGCATGCTGCTACTTAGAACAGCAAATGAATGGTGTGTCTTCTTAACCCATCATGTGCTTCATGTTACCTTCTCAAGACTGCAGTAAACAAAGCACAAGGCCTCTGCATCACAACTGAATATAATACTTTGAGCCTCAACTATTCTTTGAAAAGAAAGAAGAAAAGAATAGCAAATACCAAGCAGAAGCAGATGAGATGTGAGTGAAAAAGAAGAGCATAAAAGGAGACAGGGATTTTTTTTTTTTAC